GGCCTTACAGTTCTGACAGCTTGTCAAGGTTGCTGATAGCAGCTGGTATTGAACCCGTGAACCGATTATTATGAAACAATCTGTGACAATGAACATAATGGGGGGGTGGGGAGGGGAGAGGGTAAAGAAGGGGAGCGAAGTGATGAGGGAATATGGGATGAGTGAGGTGGTGATTGCGGAAGAGGAAGCAACGTTTATATACATTCCGTCACTGCTGTGTTCCCTAATCACTCTCTAGCCAAACTACCTTGCATGAGACGAGACTCTCTGTCAGCTCCAGCCTGCAGTACCTCTCTCGTGCTCTCATCTCCTCCTCAGCCCCACGCACGCACACCATGACCCTCCCTGCTGCTCTGCTCACACCTCCCCATCGAGGCTTCTCATGAAGCAATTCTCTGCCCAGTGCATGGTGCATGGTGCGTTGCGTAGTGCATGGTGCATGATGCGTGGTGCATGGTGCATGGTGCGTGGTGCATGGTGCATGGTGCATGGTGCATGGTGCGTGGTGCATGGTGCATGGTGCATGGTGCATGGTGCGTGGTGCATGGTGCATGGTGCGTGGTGCATGGTGCATGGTGCATGGTGCATGGTGCATGGTGCGTGGTGCATGGTGCATGGTGCATGGTGCATGGTGCGTGGTGCGTGGTGCATGGTGCGTGGTGCGTGGTGCATGGTGCATGGTGCATGGTGCATGGTGCGTGGTGCATGGTGCATGGTGCATGGTGCATGGTGCGTGGTGCATGGTGCATGGTGCATGGTGCGTGGTGCATGGTGCGTGGTGCATGGTGCATGGTGCATGGTGCATGGTGCATGGTGCATGGTGCATGGTGCACGGACTGAAAGTTCATCAAATGCGACCAGGCCTTGCAGGCAGGCGGCTCTCAGAGGGTGACAGGTCTTTGGCATACGGATAAGAGCGACTGATGAGGGTCGCACCAGCAACGGGTAGCGGACGGGAATCCGGGTTCCCGTGCATTCTCAGTGGCACATGCAGCCAGGGAGCTTTCCAATCCTTCTAATTCCGTGCAGGCGCTATAGAACGTACAAGTATACGGCTTTCCTCAGGTTGCCAATGGAATCCGGAATGGGTCCCTCCAGATCCCATTCCCCCACGTACCTGCACCAACACATTGCATCGCACCGCATGACACAGCAAACAGAATGGTATACCTCAATGAGAACCTGCACCGCATCACCGCACCACAGCGCACCGCCTCTCATGCCACGCCACACAAAACGTAATAATACTAAGAACTACCAGGAGAGGTGAGCGGTGAAGGTGGCGCTCACAGAGCATGAGGCGGTCAGGGCACGCAGTGGAGGCTTTCCTCCCTGCATCAGTGCCGCGGGGCGGGCGTCGCCGTCCCACATGGGCGCGCGGCACGCAGGGCGCACAGGTGCAAGGAAAGGAACTCACATGGTCTCGATCATCCCGTCACTGTCACATCTCATAAAGGGCACTTCTGAGCAGTCGGGGCGACTCCAATCAGAGAAAGTCACCCCCCATGCAGCCTGACAGTCCTGTAGGAATTGTACTGCGGGGTGTGGAAGGGTGTAGATGGGTGTGGGGAGGCGGATGGGGGGATGGAGGGAGACGGGTGAGTGGAAATGGGGTGTGGAAGGGAGGTGGGGGGGAGAAGCGGCGCCGAGATGGGAGAGGATGGTGGGGATGATGGAGAGAAACGGGGAAAAGCGAAATGGGGAATGAGTGGGGCGTAGGGAAGAGGGAACGGAAGCGGCGGGTACTACAACGGGCTGCGGCCTCTCACATTGCGAGGCCTCAAACGGCACGGCGTGGACCATGGCGGGCGTGACGAGGCGCGTGGCGGCAAGGGCGGCGAGGCACCATGCGAGTTCCAGCGCGCCGCGCTGCTGCTGCCGCTGCGTCCGACGTTGATTCAACGGCTGCTGCTGCTGTTGCTGCTGCTGCTTCTAGCCGACTCCCACGGCTGCGCGCGGCGGCCGTGCCCTGGCCGCAGCTCACTGGCGACGTCGAAGCCTCTGGAGCCGAGAGACCCGAGGGGCACGCGCGGAGGCTGGAGCGGCCGCGTTTCCGCAACCGCATGTGGGAGGCTGAGACCATTGGCGCTGTCATTCTGCTATGATTACGCCTACGTGACGACGCAGCAGTCGTGTGCTGACGCGGCGCGCTGCTGATGGGTACTCTCGATCCTTCTACGATTGTAAAAAGAATGGGAAAAAGAATGAATACAACTTCTGTGAGCGCGCCGTGGTCGATAACGTAAAATAATCTCAAACCGTATTACTACGCATAAATATGAACTACTGTACAAAGAGACACATTCCCGTGCTGGTGGTGGGCTGGGAATGGATTTTGGAACGCAGGAGCTACTGGTAGCTTTCCAACACACGCGACAAGAAGCAAGTTGGAACGAGGGTCTCGGCAAGTCAGGGCGGTTCTCCTCGGTCTAGGGTAGTTGAAGCCTCCGTCAGCTCACTGTGTGTGTCAGCAGATCCGAGCGGCTACCATGTCAGAGAGTTTGCACGATGTGCGAATGGTGATAGGCTGTATATCTTGTGTCTTGTGTAACTAATTCCATAAGGCCTGGCAATAACCGTGGTCTGCGGAGTCAGCGATTTTTTTTAGTCTGGCGAGAAGCTGGGCGAAACCAAAGCCCCCCACCCTCCCAACAGCTCGACTTTCCTGCTCAGCTCCCCCACCACCCAATGGTCAGCTTGGACCTCGAGGGGTTTGTAACCCTAACATACCTGCACGGAAAAGTACGCCAACCCCTCAGTTTCCATTCCCCTCGCCGTCGAATCCCCTTCCAGCCGCCTTTCAATTCCCCTTCTCGTCTCCGTCAAATCGCTTTCCCGTAACCCGCGCTTCCCATTCCCGTCGCCCACAAAAATCTGATCCCGTCGCCTTCAAATCTTCGTCCCGTCACCCGCACTTCTACTTCCCGACGCCGTCAAGGCGCTTCTGCTCGCCCGCACTTCCCCTTCCCCTCGCCTCGACGCTACCGCTCACGTCGCCGCAAAATCCCCTTCCCGCCGCGTTCAATTCCCTTCTCGTCGCCCGCTATTATGTTCCGATCGCATACCCGTAACCCGCACTTCCCTTTTCCGGCGTAACCCGCACTCCCCCTTCCTGTAACCCGCACTCCCCTCCAAATCAGTTTCCCCACTGCCTCCCCTCGGTATTCCCCGTGCTTACTCTGTATCCCCCTTCACTCATCCATTTTCCCCCCTGCTTACTCTCTTTCCCCCTGCTTTCACCCGTTTTCCGCCCTACTTACTCTCTTTCCCCTTCACCCCTTTTCCCCCCTGCATTCAACCCCTTCTTTCCCTGCTTACTCTCTGTCCCCCTTCACTCCCCCTTTCCCACTTGCTTACTCTCTTTCCCCCTTCACTCACCCCTTTCCTCCCTGCTTTCTCTCTTTCCCTCTGCATTCTCCCGTTTTCCCCTCTGCTTACTCTCTTTCCTTCTGCATTCACCCCTTTTTCCCCCTGCTTTCTCTCTTTCCCTTTGCATTCACCCCTTTTCCCCTATGCTTACTCTCTTTCCTACTGAATTCACCCCCTTTCCCCCTTGCTTTCTCTCTTTCCCTCTGCATTCACCCTTTCTCCCCTCTGCTTACTCTCTTCCCCCCCCTGCATTCACCTCTTTACTCCCCTATTTACTGTCTCTCCCCCTTCACTCACCCCTTTCCCCCCCTGCTTACTCTCTCCCCCCCTGCATTCACCCCATTTTCCCCACTGCTCACTCTCTTTCTCCCTGCATCCACCCCTTTCCCGTCCTAATTACTCTCTTTCCCCCTTCACTCACCCTTTTTCCCCCCTGGTTACTCTCTTCTCTTGCCCCCTTCACTCAACCAGTTTCTCCTCTGGTTACTCTTTCCCCCCTTCATTAAACCACCTTTTCACCACACTCACTCTTCCCCCCTGTTTACACCCCTGCATATCCCCCTTTCCCTCTCTCTTCCACTCATGCCTGTACAGGTGCCCGACTCCATCACTTGTGGCATTACAATTGTTCTCCAGTTTCTTAGTGCGGGGGAGCCGACGCGTGTACAGTAGCACAACAATACCATTCGTCTCCTAGCTTTGTGCAAATGGATAGCTACTATCGTACCTTTCTTCGAATACTACCATACGCGCGACTCGGATTTTAGCGTTTGTGACACCTTAAACGAAGACATGTCTTCACACACATACCTTCACTATGCAGTGTGTGTGTCAGCCCCCGGATAGAAGCGCCCCTGGGGGTATAAAAAAACACTGTTTTTTAGGGGGTGCGCTTATAATTGAGGATTTTTATAAGCGCCGGGGCTTATATAATGACATATATGAAATCTAGTTTTTTTACACCAAAGTGTTCATCTCGTCCTTGCAATTTGAATCGAATCGATATTGTAGAGGGCAATGAAAGTGAACTTCGCGTAAATTGGCAGTGGCTGATTCCCTGCCAACACACACAGTCAGAATGAGTCAGATTGACCCCATGACAGCTCATTCTGACTGGACGCGAAGGCATTGAGTCGCGCGAGGGTGAAGGGATTCGAAATTCTGAATGTGGGGATGCAAAATTGGGTTTCGTTACAGCGTTTCCAGTAAAAATATACCAATGATTGCAGTGGGTGGCGCTCATAATCCGTTAAGCCTCCAGGGGTGCGCTTACAATCGAGGACCGGATATAAGCGCCCTCATCCTTTTATAAGCGCCGGCGCTTATCCGAGGCCTGCGCTTCTATCCGGGGGCTTACGGTATCTCCAATCATTGTGTGGTGAGGAACAGCCTGTCACACGTTTCATTCTCAAGCAACAGTGCTCTGTTTTCCATAGTGCACTTTCCTTCCAGAGAGGTGCTTGATGGCCTTTTCTCAGCACAGTATAGTAGTTATCTTAATGCTGCCTCTTATACGTTCAAGCATGTGGGCTTTCAATCTCAGTGTTGATTCCTCTTATGAACATCGTGACCTTCTACCCACCATGCCGTAACTTGTTACGGTAGGCTTTATGAGACTAGGCATGGGTGCA